TGTGTGTGTGTGTGTGTGTGTGTGTGTGTGTGTGTGTGTGTGTGTGTGTGTGTGTGTGCGTACAAACACATGTGCATGTTCAGACATTTAAAGAGGTGCTGAGCTGTTCATCTACTCAAAACTTTCCATCTCTCCAGACCTCCCAATCCTCTCGCCTACTTCCATCAAAGTCCTTTTCTCCTCTCTGCCTTCCTCGACTCCCCTCTCTTCCATTTCCATGTTGTTCTGCTGTTCGCTTGTGGTGAGGCAGGCATCATCTCGTATACATGGCGTGGCGCATGATGTGGGACCACGGTAATGCAAGCATCTGTTCAGGGCTTTTGTGTTCAAAAGATTCAATTAAAAAATAATTACCAAAAGATTAGTGGTAGTCCGGTACGACTGTAGTGTTTGAATAGATGTTTCCTTTTCATCTGCTGTAATAATAGGATGCTTTTTTAATTAAAGAAAAAAAAGAGGAAGCAGATGAAGAAAAAGAAGAGGAAGAAGAAGAAGGAAAAAGGCGGGCCTGTCTCGGTACACCCTGTCTGAAGACAAAGTTTGTTTGATGTGCAGCAAAATTAAATATTTTTTTGATCTAACAAATTAATTTTCACCCCCACTCCCAAGCGCTTCCCATCCTCCCCTTTCCTTTTTTTCTGTAGGAGATAAAGACAATTTAATTTAGATACCAACATGGTGAGTAGCAGTGTGTGCACACACACACACACACACACTCCCTTGGTCAAGCCTGATGAGGATCCACCACTAGCAACTAAGCCATATCTTAAGTGCAGCTGGGAGTGTGACGAGGAAATGGAAGTCTGCATCATAAGAATATTCCGACGGGCATAAAAGCTGTGCTATGTATTATAAAGGGGGATGTAGCTGCAGGCCAACCATGAGCAAATATTTCAGCAACTATAAATAATGTTTATTACAATAATATCTAACATGCGTCCAGAAACCCATCAGTGCTTAAAGACAGGTTGTCCGAGTCATTCTTATAGAAGTCGTACCTGTTTGGAGCGTCCAACTGGATATATTTTCTCAGCCCAGCAAAATATATTTCTGAAAGCATTTGAGCAATTCAGTAACAATTACTGGTTATTATTGGTATTGAATTAACAGTCACAATTACCTCCCTCACCAGGAATTTGAAGGGAATCTGTTCAGCTCTGGCCTGGCTGACTCACCTGTTTGTCACCTCTGCCAGCAGGAGCACATTCATAGCAGCTCTGCAAGGATCTGGGGAAACAACAGGTATTGTTAGTTCCATGACCACATCACCACCACCGCCACAGCATCAGCAGCTATCAACCTGGAACTTTCAACAAAGCACACAATCAACTTCCTCCCCTCTTCAAAGTAAGGCGCAGGGCAGGGTGCTGGTCTGTCACAGGAAGTTACAGACAAGTCCTTGTTGGCCTAGAGAGGCAACGGAGATTCCTGGACATCATCATAACTGCCACACTCAGGCCTGACATAGCTCTGTTGTCTCAGGTGTCAAAGCAAATCATCCAGCTGGAGTTGACTGTCCCGCAGGAAGACCAATTGGACGAGGCCCCGGAAAGAAAGATGGCCCTGATGGCTGACTGTTAGATTCAGAGGGGGGAAGGCAAACCGTGAACCCATGAATGTGGGGTGTAGAGGTTTTGTAGGACAATCTCTATATCAAGTCTTAGGGCTCTTTGTGATCTGTGGATTGCAGAGAAGTAAAGCCATCAAACCATCTTCAGTGACTTTGGCTTAAGAGGGCTCATACATGAAATAATTCTCCAGGTCTTGTGTTGCGTGGAATATTTAAACATGGGTACAAGTTCTTTCCATGTAGCAGTTTTGGTCAGAACTCGTCTTAGGCCTGAGAGAGATAAATTAGCAGATACCAGACTGTTTACAAATTAAGATGCATTAAGATAGAGCAAATCTTACTGACTTATGACTTATGTTATGTCCAGCAGGCCACACTCACAGGATTTTGTCCAAAATGTCCAAACCAAAGTAAAACGTTCTACCAATCATTTAAGCCCACAAACCCACTGAACGCTGATTAGCAAAAGTTAGCATGGTAAAGTGACATTTTCCAAACAGTTGAGCCGAAATGTTGCTAGCCTTGCTAATAAAAAGACAAAAAGTGCTGTCCTACTACGGCTCTCTGCACATATCAGCGCTCCCTCGAGAGTTCTCTGTGTCATGAGTGTCAGGCCCACCCACCAAGTTATTTGCTCAGTCTTCACACCATGACACCATAATCCCTCATTGTCTTGGGTTACACCACAAAATTCAAACCCTAATGGTCCGCTCTGTTACGAAAAAAGCATTGCATTTCTCTACTTTTCATACTTGCATAGCAAAATTTTGGAGAGGGCAGCTGAAATAAAAGCAGGTGAGAGAGAGACAGACAGCAAAAGTAAGAGAGAGATGTCATTGACTCCTTGTCCCTGTGGCTTTGTTCCTGCCATGCTCTGCAGCACAGGGCTGACAGGCCCCAAAGCAGTGCCCACTATACGCGTGCGAGCACGCACACACGGGCACACACGCACATACACTTGCACACTGTGTTTGGCCTGTCAGCCACGGCAGCACCTGTCAACTGCTGACCACTTCATTGGACACCCCCAGAGAGAGAAAGTGAATGAGAGGAAAAAATGGGCTACTACAAACACAGCAGGCAAAGCAAATGACTGACCTCACTGTCCAGATGGGTCCTGTCCTATTTGACGCATACAACGCAAGCTTAGCCATGATACCAAACGGCGAGGGTTTGCTGTTTAATTCATTTTTTTGTCTTAGAAGATCACAGTTTCCTGTTAATGATGAAGGATTACACAAACAAGTAACAGTGACACACAAAACGTTACTTTAATTCTGCTCAATATGCCATTCTCCTTCTAAAAAGATATGTTTAAGCTAAACTTCTGCACTGTTCCACTTGCTAATATTCAAAGTGTCGTTTAGGTTTCGATATTCTGGACGAATATATTGCGAACAGAAAATAATGACATGAAAATTTTTGTTGCTGGTGGTTAATTAAACTGCGAGGTGCTGCAAGACACATGAATTGAATATATTTGCTTCTATCCAGTGGGAAGTTAATTCTCTACTTTCCATATAATCATCCTATTCGTTTTTCTGAATACAACTTTCCTGATACGGTGTGTCGCTATATATTAAATTACTCTGTCTAATAAATCATTAAAAACTTTTCTTTCAATGATGTTTCCTCCTGTACCTCCCTTCCCAAGTCCCCCAGAAAGTGTTTTTCTGAGAAACAAAAGATAAATGAGAAAGGGCCATGCCAGGAAGCACAAGTATACCCAGTTGAGAAGGTTATTATCAGGACAATAGACAGTTATTATCCTGGACAAACATCTTTATGATGAGGCAGGAGCAACACCAACACAGGGATATCAGATACATCATGTTTTGTCAGGATTCTAAGAGAAGAGTGGAGTGGTGCAGAGTAAAAACAGTTCAGCATGTTGCTCCACGAAACCAATGTTTCTTGTAATGATAGTAGACAAGTCACTCAACTCAGTGGATCAGACAGGTTTAACGGTCTGGATGAAGCCAATTACCAAGTAGTTTTGCTTAAACATTAAACTTTTGCAGCACAATGCAGTCCCATCAATGTACCTAGAGTTCCTCACTAAGCTTCAGTAAATGATAGATCGGGTGTAGGAACAAAAAAGGCATGCTCAATCGGTATAGGAAGGCTATCAGTTTCTTTAGAATATTTAAAATAGTTTTTGTTGACATACTGACAAATTGGTGAAAATGTAGAACTGAAGTTACACTGTGATACAAGGCCAGCCATTCCATGGGTAAAAGATTTAGGGTCGCTCACAGTATAGGGCTGTATAGGAGGTGATACATGGTTCCTGGAACTGCGGGCCATTTTACTTTAGCTTCACTTTAGTCAATGCATATACAGTACATATTTGGAAAGCTGCATCTTTCTCTTTTTCAAAGATGACATGATGGAAAATAGTTTAGTTTTATGAATGCAGATCAAATAGTTGAGGTGTTGTACGCTGCTTAATTTTGAATGTTATCGTGGCAAGAGTTAAGTCTTGGCAGAAGCAGAAATGTGCAAAAGTTCAAATTTCCCATTAGGACTGCCTGAGAACTAGCTATCAGCAACTGCATTCCAAAAGTATGAATATTGGCATGTGCCCCATTTCAGTCAAACTCTAATCACAACAGCATTCTAAAATTGCTGCATCATAATCCTTATAATCAGGACAAGGTGCAATATTCTTGCATAGCAACTCCAAGGATAGAAAGCTTGTTAGAGTAGAATAATAAACAGCTTTCAGCTATTACAATCACACCACATTCAATCATTCAGTGTATGGAAATGACTGATTCAATTTCAGTGTAGGAATAATGATTATAATGTGTCTGTAATATGTTAATACAGTTTCAAGTCAGCTGTTCTTTTCTTTGATTAGTCACATTGTCACTGTTTTGCTCTCTGTGAGTAGATTACATTTGCTCTTTGGTCTGATGGAGCACTCATAAATAAAAAAAAAGAATAGGATAGAATTAAGTAAGAGAGGAGAGAGCTTTAGAGAAGAGGGATTAGGATTCAGAGTGTTTGTTGGAGACCAAGAGCAGTCATGGCATTGTTTACCTCCGACTTTATTCCTGGTCTTATTGGCAAGGCTTCAGTCTTGACTAGACATTGATTCTTATTTAGAAGAGTGGAGTCTAGAGTGTGAGTCTCGGGGTATACTGAAGTCTTGGGGTGTTGAAAAAAAGGTGGATTTAACACAGAAGGCTATCTGCCAATCTGTGCAATTGTAATGTAAATCCTCCATCCTCCATGACACCTGCAGAGAAATGTGTTGCTGTGTATATCTTTGAATTTTCATTTACCCTCAAGCTTAGCCAGTTCGTTTGTCTTGTCTTGAAGACTCCCATTGTAGGTCAGTTTTGATGACATCTGTCAAGTGGTGCAGAATGCACCATGTGCTTGAATAGCATGTTTTTGCTTTAAACCAATACATGTAATCACGAGGATCCTTCCCCAGTCCTGATGAGTAACAGTAGTGCCAGCCTGTCTGATCACTGCAGACTTATTGTCATAATATCGCAGTAATAATGCTGTTTTCATTTAGAGCAGTTGAATTGGAATTAGTGCAGAATGTTGTTGGTGGTACATCAAACAAGAGTACACATCACAAAAATGTCATAATGCCAACAAAATGTAAAATCCTACAAGCTATCATAGCATAGCAAACTGCAATGAATCAGTCAGGCCAAGGTGCAGAGCACAACAGGGCAGTTTACCAGGGCAGCTGGAAAGTCAAGTTCAAGCAATTGACAAATTGGTGATTAAATTAAGAATTTAGTCATCGGTAGTTTTTAAATCTCCAGATCTTCCATCAACTGCACCAAAGTGAATAACTCTGTCTTAACTAGCTGTTTTGTTGCAGGATGTGAATCTCTCTCATTGAGTGAGAGAAGTGCTGCTAGAATAGCGGAAGTGTGAATGCGACCAGCAATATTCACTTTATTTTTGTAACTTTACTTTACTTCACTTTATTTAAAAGTAAGTGCGAGTCTGAAACAATAAGACTGCAGAGCTGGATTCTTTAAAATTGTTTAAATGTGAGTTTTTTATTCTTAAATGTCATGGTTATCACAACAATGTTGTTCAGAGTATGCAAATTTAACTTCCTATTGGACCCCTGCATAGATGAATGGGAGAAAAAAATATATACATTTAACTTGACTTTTTGAAATATCACTGGATGGTATCAGTTCACATAGATGGATTCCTATACCATCTGTCCTCTCTGTCCAAAATGTCCAAAATGT